TAAAAGGCTCTCGACCAATCAGAATGATTAGTTCTCGGATTTGGCTATTGCCAAGGCATTCTCTCTCGGGACACCGACCGAGGTGTCACGGGCTGGCTCGGGCTTCCGTGCTATCTGTTGATAGTTTTTCTTGCCGTGTTTCGCTACGGTATTGCAAGTTCTCGATTCGTACAGTTCTCGCGTTGTTCTCGCGATATCCAGTCAATTCTATGAATTCCTGTGAGTATTCCGGAGGTGTATTGCTGTGCCTTCGTGCAGTGCTCGCCCGAGTGTCCTTTGGATACAGTTCTCGGCCTCCACGGATTAGTTGCACCAGCTCTCGGTGAGGACTCCCAATTTATAATTGATGTAGCGATCTCGATAGATAGTTAAGATTCGTTCTGATACGTTCTCGATTCGTCGCTCTCTGTCTCTCACAGTATTTGCCGGACTTTTACTCCGACCCTCTCTACATCAAACCTAGCAGCCTGAGCGGCCGTGCATTTCCGTAACCGTCCGCTCCCGTTCGTGCATCCAGTTGCGTTTGCTGATTTCACGCGACCCCAAAGATCAGCACCTACGATTGCGTTTCTCGATTTTACGCGTTCCTAAAAATCGACAGGATCCGTTAAGCTATCGCCTCATCTGATAGGTTCCATCAGAGTTCTCGTTTTGGTGGAGTTGTGCCTGTTCCACCCCAACTCCCAGTTTATACCAGCTCGTCAGTTCCCGGTGAAAAAAGAATTGGCTGGCGCCCGCCTGGCTTGCGGATGCACGAACGACGGGTGGACGGCCGAAGGTAACGTAGGTTGGTTCTCAAAGATAGTTCATTCTCGGATGCTTTGCTATCGGTGTCGAGTTAAGGAAAAGAATTATGTTACAAATGGCGCCCAACGTAGGGCCAGCCAGCAAATAGTTGTTCTCGAGTTGTCATACCCGGGTGACCCTACCGGTCATCGAGGTATTGTTACAACGAAGACGGTCATCGGAACGGTTCCCGAATTCTGATAAACAAGTTTTTCAGAAGATTTCGAAGGACCCCCTACCCTAGAGTCCTGGTTTGCGACAGCCGAAATCGGCTAGATCTCGGTCACTTCGTTTCGAAATATTGCCGAAGACAGCCGACGCGAAAAACTCGAACAACCGAAAATGACTTCAACCGCGATCTCTTGTCTCGGAGAAGAGATAGACTTGGAGCTGCTGGGGAACGAAGATCAGCAAAGAGCATGGTTCGAGGAGATGTTGGAGGCCACGACGGCCCTCAAGGAAAAGGTGGGCAGACCCCCTGTGGATCACCTCGCCATGATTTGGGCGTGTGCCGCGTCGCTCTTGGCCAGCGGACACGGGGATGCCACATCCGCCCCAGTGCTAATCCTGACCATAACGGGGCTGGCGCAGGAGACCATGAGGCCACCCCCGGAGGAGGTGGACCCGCTATCGACCGGCGAAGCGGTTCGCAGCGTCGCGGAGCCCAAACGGTCGGACCCGACGAAGACCCCGGAGGAGGTAGGCCCGCGACCGACAAGTCAAGCGGTTCTCAGCGTCGCCGAGCCCGAACAGTCGGACCCGACGAAGACCCCAGAGTGGACCATCGTCCGGAGGAAGAAGGTCGGCACCTCGGGCCCCTCGGCGCCAAGTACCACCGGTTCCTGGTCAGGGGCTACTCCCCAACCGGCTCGGAGGAAGGTCATCGAACGGGCTTGCTACAGCTGCAGGGAGACCGGCCACCGATACTCGAACTGCCCGTACGGCCCACCGACGACCACATTCTGCCGCCGCTGCGGGAGGAAGGGAAAACCCTGACTACCTGCCCCTCGTGCAGCCAGAGCCGGCGACAAAGAGGGCCCTACATTCCGCGGGCCGGCCAAAACGTGCCCCGGGAGGAGTTGAAGGCTCTGCGGGCGGAGAGACCTCGGTCTCGAAGGCCGCAGGGACCTAAAGCGTCCCTCGGTGGTCCGCCAAAGCCACCGGCTACCGGTTCCACCAGGGTGACCAACGGGGATAGGGCTAGCCCGACACCGTAAGGAAACTCTCACAGCTCTCGGTGTGGACTCCTTAGTCCCAGATCTCGTACTTGGCCTTCGGGCCAATTGATCTCGTTACCGGCTCTCGGGCCTAGCTCTCGTTACGTGGGTCGAAAGACCGCTCAGCTCTCGTTAAAGGAAGGGACCCAAAGTCTCAGCCTTTATTGCCTGGATCGCAAGGTCTACGGCTCTCGCTAACGGAAGGAACCTTCAGTCCCAGCTTTCGGTACGTGAACTCTAAGATTCCACAGCTCGCGTTCAAAGAAGGACATCAAGTCCCCTCTCGTGAACCGTGGAACGCGAATCCGCGCAGCTCTCAAAGAAACAGAAGGACCCGAGATCCTAGCCCCCGGTGCTTGTGCGAATGCTGACGGTTCTCGAAGAAGCAAAGGGACTCGCCAGGACCCTTAGTTCGCGATACGCGTGTCAAAGGACAGTCGCTCTCGAAACATAGGCCGCCGGCCTCAGTTCGCGACGTGCGAGTCACGGGACTCGAGTTTCGGAAAGTGGTTCCTCAAGTCCTGCTCGCAAAGGTGGACGGCCATCATGCTCGCGGAATACAGCTCTCGGATATAATACGAAGATCCCAAAAGGGTAACGTACGCTCTCGACTTTCGTGTTCATCCGCGTCCTGTTATCATCGTTCAGTGTCCGTTTGTCAATCTGTGTTTAATACTTTCTCGGAGCGAGAGAGGATAAACCTCTCACGCGTTCTCGGTTCGCCTGCGAAAAATATTAAATCAGTTCTCGCCAGTAAACAGCATGTGAACAAGGCTCGCTATCGTTACGGCTCCCGAAATAAGCTACGCTTAATACCTTCTCGGAGCGGCAGGGCTAACGCCTCCGCGCGATCTCGATCTACCCGCGCAAAATAAGAAATTAGCTCTCGCCAGTAACCAACGGGTAGAACTTCGTGCTATCGAAGAAGAATAAAATCAGTTCTGGGTCTAGTAACTGGGTAATACTTTCTCGGAGCGAGAGAGGATAAACCTCTCACGAATTAATTCGCAGCCTGGTCAGACGATCATGCGAAGAGATATCGCTACAAAAAAAAAGTAATAATAATTAATTTCTCGAGCCGAGAGAGTAAGCCAAGATCCCGGCTTACCCGCGAAATATGAATTAAATAGCTCTCGACAGTAACCAGTGGGTAAGACATCGTTCGCTACCGGATTATCGTACTTTGCCTTCTCGTCCTTGGTTCCTGAAACAGTTCTCGATTTCGGTTCACGACTTGAGTCCGGCCGAAGGGCCAGAACTGGCTCACGATCGTAACGTGCTCTCTACTGTACCTCCCTACGGAGATAGTACAGGTGATGAGTGGTTTAGTTACCGAATTCTCGAAATAGTGATCTTTAAACATCTTCTCGCGCCTACGAATTATCGCAGCTCTCGTCTTACCTACCAAATATTATTGTTTTCACTCTGTCTCGCTTTCGCTCACAACGGTGGGTAAGAATATTGGCTATCGAAACTGGTTTTAACTGGCCATAGTTCACGAAATAAATTAATAAATGTCTTAATTGACAAGTTATCGGCAAAAATATTAACTTCTGAAATGTCATTTTCTCGAGCTGGAAAAATTTTTCCGGTTGGTTTTCGATTTTCCTCACCACCATCTAGATCTCGACCGTACACAGGGGAATGAATACTAAGCTATCGAAAGAAAAAAAACTTATGTAATAAAGCTCTCGAATATGTCGGAATACCGACGAAAATATTCTAATTAGAAAATTGGCTCTCGGTCCGATTTGCTTGCACTAGCTCTCGTTTCGATCACTAAGCCTCAACCACCCTTAAGAGGTGGGGAGTTGTGATGTGATTTTTCGAATCACCATCCCAAGGCGGCTCCGATTACCGATACAGATAACGTTCTCAATTTCTGGTTCCCTTCGGGTCGCCACCCTGCTCAGAAGCTACGCTCTCAGGTTGATTCGTATAGTTATGTCAATGCTCTCGTGAGATATCGTTATTGTTTAGTTGAGGTCGAGGTACTCGAATCTGCCGTGGGGAGATAGTCTCGACGTACCGAGTTGCCCGGCAGAGGAGAGTACCCGATGGAGACGTCTCCACGGACCAGCAGAAGCCCGGGTGAAATACCGGCGCTCCGTTGGAGATGGGCAAAGGGCTGTAGAGCGGGCGGAGATTGTTGTGATACGGTTAAGGGCAGGAGCGGAACCTCCGGCCCGAGTTAAGGATGTGGTGCCCAGTTGTCGCTCGATGCCCTGGGGAAGCGGCCGTGGAGGATCTCCAGAAGTTACGTACAGATTCGTTAAGGAACACTCTCGATTTGGTTTAAAGGGACGACTCGAAGGAGATAGAAGAGTTATCAGTTAAAAGGCTCTCGACCAATCAGAATGATTATTTCTCGGATTTGGCTATTGCCAAGGCATTCTCTCTCGGGGCACCGACCGAGGGGTCACGGGCTGGCTCGGGCTTCCGTGCTATCTGTTGATAGTTTTTCTTGCCGTGTTTCGCTACGGTGTTGCAAGTTCTCGATTCGTACAGTTCTCGTGTTGTTCTCGCAATATCCAGGCAATTCTATGAATTTTCTATGAGTATTCCGGAGGTCTAGTGCTGATTGGTAATCGCACCATCGCGCGATGTACATCGTTGTCTAGATATATATATATATTTCCGATTTAGTAAACGTGGTTTTGCAAATTCTTTATTAATCCATTACATCTCGGCCCTTTAGCCATTTTATTCAATATATGCAGTTTTGTGCTTTTTGATTATTGCCAAAATGTTTAGTTGGTGGAAATATTTAATTTATCTATCCACAATTAATTATTCCTTCAGAACCATCTAAATTGTGAAGTGGAAGATTTGCTATTGGAGCGGTGCTGAAATCATTGTTGAAGCTGGAGTCTGGTGCCGACCATCGTGGCCTTATATTGCCTTCTCGGAAGATCTTGAGTTATTCTCGCGCTTTCTAAGATTTCATCGGGGGGCCAATTGCAGCTAAGTCGTGTCGTTTCCTGTCTCTTGTCCATGTCCTCATGTCGGTGTGGTCTGCCGTAGTTAAACACGTGGTTTTCCATCCTGGCTTTTCTGGACTGAGTCGGGTGTGTTTTTCCCTGTATTATCTTTGGATTCTTCAAAGAGGGCCTGTTGACTGCCTGCCTTCCTGATACGGCAGATATAGATTCTGTAAAGAATAAAAAAAGAGTTAGGGATTCTCCATCTTCAATGCCGGATGAGCCGCATAGTGTTCCTCCTACTAAAATTTCTTCCTTTCCACCTTCCAATCATAGAGAAAGTATTTGGTCTCATATTTCCAACCGTTACTCTAATAACTCGAAGGCGCCGTTTATCGTTTATATCTGCAATAAAGATACGGCAAAAAATATTGCTAGATATCACCCGTTCTCTATTGCAAAGCGGCTCGCGAGTTTCGAGGGCATCCAATCTCTTTCAAGAAATGGCTTAGATAAATTAATTGTTTCTTTTGATTCTTTCTCGAATGCTAATAACTTTGTGAATCCAATCTTTTTCAAGAAATGGTCTAAATAAATTAATTGTATCTTTTGACTCTTTCGCGAATGCTAGTAACTTTGTGGATTCCACCCACTCTTCCAATAACGAGTGATTGGCTTACGTTCCTGATTTTAGGACCGCTAAAGTGGGCGTAATCAGAAACGTGGACCCTGAGCTTTCTCTTGACTGTATCCGTGAGGGCATTGTTCCTTTATCTCATGACTCGAACTCTCAGGAGGTCATTAGACTGGAGAGAATTTTTCGTACTACCATAGATTCAACTGGGTCCAAAGTAAGAGTCCCTTCATCGGCTGTTAAGGTGGTGTTTGCTGGCTACACCCTGCCGAACAGCATTAACATCTGGCTAGTAAAATGCCCTATTGAAATCTACATTCCACCAGTTATCCGGTGTTTCTCCTGCCAACGTTTTGGACACGTCTCTTCCAAATGCAGGAGCTCTTTAAGATGTGCTAATTGTGGCGAGGGTCATGCTGATAATGTTTGCGGATCCGCGTCTCAATATTGCGTTAATTGCTCTGCCCCAGGTCACTGCGCTGACTCCTTTAGATGTCCGTGATTTATCCTACAAAAACAGGTTAGACGAGTTATGGCTGAGGAAAGTATCTCATATAAAGAGGCAGGACTTAAATATGGGGTTTCCTCAAGGCCAATCTTGGCGAGCAACCATAGCCTGACCGTGGTGGATGAGACTTCGGAATGTAATTCGGTATCTGTTCATGAATTTGCTGACGATTCCCAATCTACTCAGCCTTCAAAACATCTTGTAGTTAACCAAAATTCTACTGCCGCTATCCCATTATCAATGAGCCAAATTGTGAATCTCAAAGAGTTAATTAACCGGGAAGTCATTAAAAAAGTGGGCTCCATCATTAATCATATCGAGGAGGGTTTGATCGGTTTGTTGAACGAAGGATCAATATGTGAAGCCTCTATAAGGAACATATGTTTAGAATCCTTACAGATCTGACCCATTCTCCGGGGACATAATTTAGCCTAGCGGCTGGCTGTGAATGTCTTGTTATTTTTGTGCATTGTTAAATTTTTACTAGAATTTGTCATTTCCTGTTAAGCTATTTATATTATTTATTTATTTTCATTGTAAAGATAGTTGATTTTCCAGCCGCACTGTTTATATTTATTGGGCTGTTCTAGATTGTTGTTACTGTTTATTGTATGAGTTACTATTTATATAAAGTATTAACTAATGTTTCTAAGATTTATAGTTATATATATTTACCTTGTGATTGTTACGATGTCGCCAAAAGAGAACCTAAACATTATCCAGTGTAATGCTCGCAGCTTGAGGTCGTCTTTGACTGAGCTTCAGATTCTTGCCAAGGATGCTCACGTTCTGTGTATCTCGGAGACTTGGTGGAGATCTGAGCAACAAATTAAAATCAGGCACTTCAACATCATTAGGAAGGACAGAGGGGACGGAAGAGCTGGTGGCGGAGTAGCAATACTTATCCGGAAATCGATTCCGTTCCGCTCAATTGATACTTCCTCGGCAAGACCTGGTGGAGTTGAGATGTGTGGTATGGAAATCTTACATGGTTCCATCCCGATTCCTCTTAGGATCTTTTCGTTATACAGGCCTTCTGAGTGCTCCATGTCTTCATGGGCTTGGAAGTCTCTTCTAGATTCACTAGGGCAAAATAATATTTTAGTTTGCAGGGATTTCAATGCTCAAAACCCTGTATGGGGCAGCTCTTGTTCCAACTCAGCCGGCAAAAACTTAATTAACGCCCTTGATCATATAGATCTCTCCGTTATTAACAACGGTAGCGCAACGAGAATCTCTTTTCCTGCTCAATCCGTCAGTGTTCCTGATGTCACTCTAGCTTCTCGGACATCCTTCTATCTCTGCGATGGAGGGTCATGGACGACCCAGCTGGTAGTGATCATCTCCCTATTTTGATCTCGGTTAGCTCATTCCACATCGTTCCTGCTCCTGGCCGGCCTAGAATGAATGTGGATGAGGTTGACTGGACCAAGTTTGGACAGTGGACCAGGAATATTCCTCACCTAATAGACCTCTCAAACATAGATCTCGAGACAGGCTATGAGCAATTTACAGAACACATTCTCGATTCTGCGGAAAGAACCGGGGCTCGCCTAGCGGGTGGTAAATTACGTAATTTTATGGCTCCTCCAGCCCCGTGGTGGAATTCCGAATGCCGTAAAGCGCTTGCAGAAAGGAAGACTGCCTTTGTCAAAGTCAAGAAGCATCCCACAGAGCAAAATGTGAATCTGTATAAAGAAAAATTAAAAAAGTAAACATTAATATTCTATAAAGAACGAAAGAAGAGTTTTAGATCCTTCTGTAACTCTATTAACAATCAGATGGACCCTGCAAAAATGTGGAACGTTATTAAGTCATTCAAATCTAGATCCCTAGGATCTCAATCTTCTAGTCATGGGGATTTTAACCCAGCAGCTTTCGATTTCGTGGACAAAATAGCTCCTCCATCTATCCTAATTCCTCCTTCTCCGTCCATTATATCGGGTCCTACACTAGAAATTTTTTCGAAGATACGCCTGGAAGAATTAACTTCGGCCATTAATAAAATTAAAGTTAAATCTGCAGCCGGTCCCGATCTTATTAATAATCGTATGATCAAACAGCTACCCGTGGAATCCCTCCAGAAACTCTGCGAGTTGTTTGATGGATTTTTTTAAATGTGGTCGTATTCCATCAATCTGAAAAAAGTTCAATGTTATTCTCCTACCTAAACCGAACAGTGATAGTTTCAGGCCGATTGCACTTTCTTCTTGCCTCCTTAAAGTCTTTGAAAGGATATTATTAACAAAAATGGAATGGTGGATTGAAAATTGTTCACTAATTCCCAAAATTCAGTTTGGTTTTAGAAAGGGCAGATCCTGTATGGATAACTTGGCCATCCTTAGCTCGGACATTTACCTTTCCTTTGCTAGAGGGGAAACTCTGGATTATCTCTGATCGCCTCTAGAACAATGGAAATAGGGTTACCTCAAGGCACTGTGCTTAGTCCCCCCTCATTTAATATATACATAAGGAAAATTCTATCTAATATTGGTTCTCAATGCCGGTCACTTTTATATGCCGATGATATAGTTATATATTTCTATCACAAGGACCCTGCATATATAACTTCAGTCCTCAACTCAGCACTGGAGCTAGTACTATCATGGCTTAATAGCATTGGCCTTTCCATCTCTCCCAGGAAATCGCAATTCACCCTATTCTCAAGGAAAAGAGAGAACTGGTATAACTTCTCAGTTCTTATTGATGACCACCCGATTCAATGGGTTCCTGTCATTAAATTTCTGGAAGTGTAGTTTGATTATAAATTAAACTGGAATCAGCATATAAATAAAATCTCGGAGAAAGCTCGATCATCTTTGCGGGTTTTAAGGTCTACCTCTCGTATCAACTGGGGTGCCCACCCCAATAACCTGCTGATTATTTATAAAGCCTTAACGAGATCGATCCTTGACTGGGGCTCAATGTGCTATGGGACAGTTAGGGCAAATAGCCTTATTGTCCTTGATCGCATTCAGTATGCGGCCTTGCGATCTGCTCTGGAACTTATGATCTCGACTCCCACCAATGCAATTTTAGCTATGGCAGGGGAACCGCCGCTTTATTTCAGGAGAATCTTCCTTGCTTCTAGGTATATTTTAAGATCTTTCTCAATTTACCATCACCCTATCCATGCGAAACATAAACTCCTAGAAAATGCTGTTAACAGCAATCAGTCACGTGGGTACTCACCGTATGTTCTGTCAAGATGGTTGTCCCTTAGAAGATATTAAGACAGAGTTATTAGAAACCCTCGTCCCATCTGTTTCTCCATTCCTTTGGCAGCGCATTTTCAACACATTGATGTGGACCTTGAGTTTGGCTTTTCTATGAGAGAAACGTAGAACCCTAATAACGGTCTTGGCACCTTCCTTCTGGAGGAATTCCGGAACTGGGTTTATATATACACAGATGGTTCTCGGTCGTCCATCCCTGAGAGATGTGGGGCTGCAGGCTACGTAGCTAACTCAAAACTAATTAGGAAATTCAGATACTGCAACAAGGCTTCTATTTTCTTTGCAGAGGCATCGGCTCTTCTTGCAGCCCTGCAATTAATCAAGGAAAAAAACATAATAAAGCCGGTTATGCTGTCTGACTCACGTAGCGCTTTACAGTGCCTAGCTGATAATTCAATGAACTCAAAGATTCACCCTATCATCGCTCAATGTAAGAAAATGTATCTGGACTTACGGTCCATCGGACTTCAAATTCAGTTCATCTGGATCCCATCCCATCAGGGAATCCATGGTAATGAGGTAGCGGATAAAAGGGCCAAAAAAGCCCTCAGTATTTCAACTATAAATACTAAAGTAGTCTGGCCTGATCTTGCTGTGCACTGTAAAAGTAGAATGAAATCGAAGGCCTATGACTATCTTACTGATCAAGCCCAGTATAAGGGAATCAATTTCTTTAAATGGTCTCCTCCTACCTTGGGCTGTCCCTGGTTTATCAATATGGATTGGAGGAGAGATGATATTGTTAAAATTAACAGGCTCCGCACAAACCATTCAGCATCTAGAGCTCACCTTCATAGAATCGGTGCTGCCTCTTCTGAGGCCTGTCAATGCAATGCTCAGTTTCAAGACTTGAACCACATCTTCTGGGCTTGCCCTCTTAATACCGTGGAGACGAATAAACTGGTTCTAACATTACGACGTCTAAAAATTCAGGCTCCATATAACATCCAAAATTTGGCCTTCTCTGGAGATTCCAGAATTCTAAAAGCTATCATTATCTTTGTTAATTCAGTCCAGGGCAGACCAACTGACGCGATGCACTTCTATTAATACACTTCCCATAATTCCATTTCGTACCTGATGCTGCAACCGGCAACGAAAATAAACAAACCTTGACTTCAGTTCTCGTACAATGTTGAAATCAGAACTGACACCGGATCGGGTCAGTCCTGAATAAAGTCACGTAGATATTAAGAAATTAATTAATAAGACTGCGAGATGCCGTATCTGGACATATCTGATGACTGGTCGAAGGGCAAGCGTAAGCCACCAGCGAGATGCGTTGAAGAAAAAGGTATCACAAGTTAATTAACATTCTATTGGTATATTCATATTGTAAAATCAAGGTTTATTTGGGTTTTGCGGGACCACAGACTATAACTTTGAAGAAACATTACTAGAGAGACATATAGAGGTGAAGCAATAGATAAAATCTATAAAATTCTATAATCATCAAAAAATAAAAGTTTTATACAAGGAAATATTGATTAAGAAGAATGTAAATGCGCTAGAAGCATAATAGATTCAGCCTCAGTGGCATTTCATACGATTCTTATGGGGTTCGATGTGAAAGTTATAAATAATAGAAAAAATTAACAATCGTAATACTTACTATGGCCAGTATCGAGTCAAAAGGTAGTATCCACAACAAGACGAAATCCTATAAGAGTAGAATTGACAGGAAGTAGGAATAAATAAATACTGAATGGCAAGATTACAAATAATTTGATAATTTATTAATGCCGATAGACAGCGTACAACAATGTTGACAGAAACTGGGCTAGACACTCAACTTGCCTGATAGGACAATAATTTTGCAGTATATCCTCAAAAAATTAGCTTGTCAATAGAAGATTATGAATAATTTGAATAATTTCTTATTATAAACAAATAGCACACCTTGCTCATCATGACACAAAGTTTTCACATTAGCTGGTATCAAATAGATATAATTCTAGCGTGGTAAAAGTGTCAACCCGGTGGAAATAAAGAGTTTCTCAATTCTTACGAAAAATTGATAACCGTCACGGTAAAAGTGTCAACCCGATGGATGGAATGAGTTTCTCAATTCTTATAAAAAATTGATCATCATTGTGCTACCAGTGTGTAACATAGTGATTGTGGAAGAGTTTTTCGATTCTCTTGAAAAAATTGAAAAATTCGCGAACGTGCGTGAGTGTCGTCGCGAAAATTATAAAAGTTCTCGAACTATCTTTTCAAAATCGAAACAAAGTGACGGGTCTTTTCAAAATCGTATTTCCGACGCATGGAAGGAGTAAAATCCGCAAGTGCGAAAATTATAAAAGTTCACGAAGTATCTTTTCAAAATCGTATTTCCGACGCGTGGAAGGAGTAAAATCCGCAAGTGCGAAAATTATAAAAGTTCACGAAGTATCTTTTCAAAATCGTATTTCCGACGCGTGGAAGGAGTGAAATCCGCAAGTGCGAAAAATCCGAAAGTTATCGATCTTCGAATAAAAATCGTATAGGTACAATCACTCGAAAAATTTTGACGTGAGTGCTAAAATCAGTTATCGTGTCTGGAAAAACGAGTGCCGTCGGACAAGTGTTCGTCGAAAAATTACTATCTGGGATCGGTTTGACCGACAAGAATATCGAACAAAATTTCGATTTCACGCAAATTGTGCAACCAGATTGTGCAATAAAAAATTTAAATTCTTCTCCGGAGGAATAATTACCTGTCGTAAGCTTGAAACGATAGATGCTCGCTTGTCGCCAATAAACAAGCGAAAGATTGTAATCTCACGCAGTAGAGATTGCCAACGACATACAGCATGCCGTGCAAGAGGTCACCGCCAAAGAAACCACTTACCAGATCCATGGACTCGATAAGTCGGGAACAGGGGGAGCCATCTCAGCAGATGACCATGACAGCTGGAGGTGCGAACGAGCGCGGAGCAAGTACACCCAACATCGACGAGAGCCGATCAACACAACTTCAACATTCGACAAGTAGCCTTACTATTACCAATAATAATGAAATGATATCAATGTTGCGTGAATTAACCGCGAGCATGAACATAATTGGCAATAAGGTCACGTGGCTTGAAAGTTCAGTAAAATCGATAGATGTAGAAGTTAACAATATTAGGACTCAAAGTAACAAAGAATTGGATGAAATGACAGTCAAATCACAAAATCCTGAAAATAACGATGTAATTAGTTTACCTGGAACAGAAAATTCAAAAAGATCGAACAACGATGTGATTTTAGATGAAAGAAAAGTTATACGTAGACTAGTAACAGAAAAATCTAAATTAACTGACATTACTTTTGATGGAAAAATAAGCTCCATGAACCCAGTAAAGTTTTTAAATAAATTCGAAGAATTAGCTACCAGGGAGGGTTATCGCACAAATGAATTATCTGAAAAAATAATTTCAAATCTAAAAGGAGATGCTCGTACCTGGGGGAACTTAATTGAATATCAAAATTTTGAGCAATTTAAGGAAATGTTTCTGGCTAGACATTGGAACGATAAAATTCAACAAGACGTAATGGCATATATTATGAACGGACGCTATGAGCCGAAATTCGGATCCATGGAGACATATTTTTTAACGTGGATGACGCATGCTAATTATGTTGATGCGCCGCTGACCGAAAAATGGAAAATTGAGAAATTATTGCTACATTTTCCTGAGCGTGTATACGAGCGTTTGTGATCAATGGCGGACCTGACAGTTCCACGCATAATTTCACGATTGATCGAATATGACGGATCAAATGTAGGATTGGCTATCGAAAGCCCTAGGGGAGTCGAAAAAAACCATACTAGAACTCAGAAATTTTCCGAGACCGATGACAGGGAATCTAGAAGGAATTTCTACGGTAGAAAGGAATACGGCAATAAATATGAAAATAAATCTGAAAGGCCAGCTAAGACCGTGGAAATTAAGAAAGAATCAAATGTAGGAAACAAGCCAAAGGATTCTGAGAAGAAGAAGGTTTGTAGGTTAGAGAGGGTTACTGAGGCTACGAAGGATAGCGACGACGGGCAAACAATAGAGCAAGCCAGCGATCCGGCTAAGGGTGATATGTCAACAGACGACGAGTCGGATTCCGAAGAGGCAAAACATTACTCCATGACTTTGATAGGTCCGGGCGAATACAACGCAGACTCAGAGTCCGAAATAGAAGAAAATCCGAATATTCAACGAAAATATAAATTGCCCAGCATAAAAATTAATTTAGGCGGTAAATTATTTAACGCTTTGATTGATACGGGAGCGGAGGTATCCGTAGTATCCGAGAGGGTAATAGACGCGCTAAAAACAGAAAATATAAGATTTCCTATAATTCCCGTAAAAGGAATCAAAATCATGTCAGCTGTCAAAGACAAGGGCACAGTAACCAAAAGAAAGGTATTATTGGATTTTGCGTGCGAGGATCAAATTAGATCACACAAATGTTACGTAGTGAGCTCATTAGCGGAAGACGTGATTTTAGGACTTGATGTTATTATAGAAAATCGAATGGCGTTAGTACCGTATCTGGGTAAAGCTATGTTTGACGTAGGAAGGGAGAAAGTCGGATTATTAGACCCTACGAAAATTTTAGAATATGATGAAAGGGAACGAGTACTGGTTAACCAACTAACAACCGAGAAACAACAAATTGAGGTTTTAGATCGCGTTAACAAATTGCTAAATAATTATCCAGAAATATTTGAAGAAGGAATAGGAAGAATTCCAGGCTATAAGCATCAAATAATAGTCAAGGATAATAGGCCGTACCAAAAGCCTGTTTACCCTATACCAAACAAGTACCTCGAGGAGGTCACTAGCGAGGTAAACAAATGGGAAGAACTCGGTATTATTAAGAGGGCACCAACCGAATATATCAATCCATTGGTAGTAGTAGCGAAACCGAATGGAAAACTACGAATATGCTTAGATGCCAGGGAAATAAATGATCGCATGGCGGCAGATCACGCGAGACCACCAACAATAGAACAGGTGTTTAATAAAATCGAAAGAGCGAAATACTTTACGTCATTAGATTTATCAAATGCATTCTTACACGTGGACTTAGATGAAGACAGTCAAAAATATACAGGCTTCTTATTCAAGTCGCAGACATATGTGTTCCTTAGACTTCCGTTTGGTCTAAAGACGTCAGGGGCGTCGTTCACTAGGGCGATGGGCCAAGTATTAGGGCCAGAGCTGGAACAAAAGGTGATAGCGTATTTAGATGACGTATTGATTGCCACAAGAACATGGAAAGAACATGAAGACATTTTAAGGAAGGTCTTAGACGCTTTTCGAAAGAATGGAATTAGATTAAATCGGGATAAGTCGAGATTTGCGCAACCGGAAATAAAATTCTTAGGGCATAATTTCCAGGAAATCAAAGCAGAAATTTTGCAGGACACCAAAGACAGTATAGAACGAGTTAAAAAACCGTCGAATATTAAGGAAGTGCAATCTTTCCTAGGTTTGGTAAATTGGGATCGAAGATTCATTCCGGGGTTATCCGAATTAATAAGACCGATTGAAAAATTG